GTTAGAACCAACGATTTTACCCAACAAAAAATGGGCAAAACCGAATGGAGCCATTTTTAACGGAATAATTGCAACGGACAAAAAAAAGCTCAATTCTTTTCCTTCTTCCCTCTGCCTTTCCGCAACCCCAAATTTTTTTTGCCAATTTCCGGAGTTTTAACGACCGTTATACAACTTTCAAAACAAATAAATTCATTCTAAATTTTTATTTGGGATTATTTCATAAATCAAATCGTGGTCACTTTCCGTAAAGTATCACTTTCCCATAAAAGACTAGCTCTTTATGGCTTTTCTCCATTATAAGAACAGAGTATCATTTTTATTACCATGTTATTAGTAAGAATTACTATTTATGTATAAAAACTTACTGTTATTTGAACTAAACTTACTCTTTTAAAAGTAAGTTTGGGATATAAAGTAGTAATCTATTTATTTAAAAATTAAGTTTAATATTTATTCCAATTTACCTTTTAAGGTATAAAAGTTACTAATTTATTAGGCTTAACTTACTATTTTAGATAGGAAACTTACTTCCATAATTTTAGGTGTTATTCTATTTAGGTGAATAGGTCCAACAATAAATCAAATGATCGCTAAAAGTGCAACAACATGTTATATTAGGTAAAAACTATTTCGCTACCATAACTATCGTTTAGTATATCTATATGTATTGCTGAGGGGGTTTTGGATAAGGAACTTCCAAAATTGTCAAAAGTTTGAATGCTATTTTAATAGAATTTTACATTTTTAGAATTAAAAAATATTTATCTCTTAACTAATCATGTAACCGCTCCTACAAATCCTATAATTATACTCATATTTTTCCCACATTTTCCTCACGTTTTTTCCACTACCCTATAAAATTCAAACTCCTAAACTTTAACTAACAGATAATAACCACCCCTGTAAAATGATATCTGCAAATTTCAATTCACATCTCACATTTATTACTGACACTTATCATATCACTGATAGTAATAACTAATCTTTAATTTGAGAAATTCGCAACTACAAAAGTCAAATATCCAAACTTTAGTAGCCTGTTTAAATTACAATTTTCACAATTCAACATATCTATGTCATAATATATTTTTCTCTCACAATCATTCACAAATTATAAAGGGATTAAAAAATAAATAATTTTTTAATAAAAAATTAATTCAAAGGTAGTTAATTCACACACACACACATACATATATACATATATATATTCTCATAATATAAACTAAAATTATAAAAAAATTAGGAGGGCTAACTTTTTTTTACACAAATATTTACACATTATGAATTAAAATTTTTAAAACTTTGGGAAGAAAGGACCTATGGCCCCGATTAGCCCCTATTAGTTTGGGAGTGTTTGGATAGCAGATTTTTCCAAATAATATTTTGCTTACATCATAAACACATTTTTCAACCCACCTTTTTATCTCACATACATAATATCACAAAAAGTACTATCGTAATTATTTCAAATAATATTTTAAATAACACTCTATCCAAACAAATTTCAATAGCGTTTTAGTTCCAAACCTGCAAGATTACAAAAGAGAAAATAACTGATCACAAAATGAATTTTACACTATGGTGATCCCACCCAAATGTAGTTATTTCACACACACGCACACATATATACTTATATATATTGTGATAATATAAACTAAAATTATAATAAATTTGGAGGACCTGTTTTATTTTACACAAATATTTATATAATATGAATTAAAATTTTTAAAACTTGGGGAGGAGGGCTATGACCTCCATTAGCCCCCATTGGTTCCATTATTGATTTCAATGGCATCTTAATTTCAAACCTACAAGATTACAAAGAAAGAAAATAACTAATCACAAAGCGAATATCACACCATAGTGATCCCAATGAAATATTTTAAAAAGATACAGCAAGTTCACTTCAAAAAAAATACAAGTCTTGCTGAACTTTTTTTGTAGTACGAATTCTTCAAAATTCAATAGAATTAATTAAACCACCAATATTAATTTTCATACTAAAAGTTGATTGGTATAAAAAATGTTCGCACCTTTGTACAAGATTATCAAATCGAATGCATAATGTTGGTAAGTATTTCATTTTAAAATCAAATAAAACTTGCAATTACATTTATTTCTATCCATATATTATTCATTTTCTAATATAAATTATTATTATTATTTTAAGATCCATCTTCCGCAAAAACACAATTGTTGAATGATTTATAGTTTTTGTCATACTTTGAACTATTGTTAGACAAATCTTAAATTTTAATTATGTTGGTAAAATAAACTTCAATGTCCAACAAATTTTAATTATGTTGGTAAGAAACAAGGTTACTTAATTATGTTGGTATAATTTTTTTAACTTTTTTCAAATTAAAATGGTATAATTTTTTAATTTATTTTAATAATGTAAGCACCGTGCGTTGCACGGATATTCACACTAGTTGTCCTTGTATGACCGAGCCTGAGAGTTTGAGCATGTTTTAGTTGAATGTTATAATTCAAAATTTGGGGTTTGGAGGGAATAGGTTATATCCATTGTAATCAAAACTCAAACAAAAGTGGGGATAAGCCTGGTTGTCACAACGAACTATATAAAGTGGATTTTTTTATTTATTTGCACAATGCTACCTTATTTTTACATGCATCAGAATGGATTGATTACAAGTTGCATTTGCTTGCCTTTTGCTAGAATTTTGGCTAATTAACAAATTATACTAATTGTAGAAAAGTAAGTTTGTAATCATTTTCAATTTTTGAAAAGTTTGAAAGTTTGGATAATAATAACAACAAATCTTCCTAGTTACATGTAGAATATCACTTGTTTCTATATCACAATTTTTATAACTTAACACCTATGAATATAATAAGATAAAATTATTATTTTATAATACGATAAAATTTTATTATTTTCTAAGGTTATGTGAAAGGTCAAAATATTTTTCACAAAATATTTTAAAATATATAAGTACAAAAGAATATTAAATTATACATATAATCATGCATTATACAAGTATGTTACGAGTACTTGCTAACTAATGTACTAAATTTTAATCATTTATAAAATATTTTATTATTATTTCAAATAAGCTTCCTAGTATTCATTTGGTATAAGCCATAAAGGATTGAGTGATTTGAGTCAGCTGCTTCTGTGTTAATTTTGATTGTGGTTAACAAACTCAATGATTTAGCCCGTCTAACTTAGGTTAGTGGGAAAATGGGTCACAGTTGGCTGGAATAAAATTGTAATAAACCCGTTTTTCAATAAAAAAAAATGAACTTTTTATGACTTTTCTCCATTATAAGAACAGAGTATTCATTTTCCTAAAAAAAAAATTATTTATCAGATAAAATAAAAATAAACCCATTTTTCAATAAAATCCTAACTCTTTATGCCTTTCCTCTATTATAAGAACCGTGTACCCATTTTGCCATAAACAAATTTATTTATCGGATAAAAAAAATTTATTTATCGAAAAAATAAAAATGAACCCGTTTCTCAATAAAACATCAGCTCTTTATGGCTTTCCTCCCTTATAAGAAAAGAGTATCCATTTTGCCATAAATAAATTTGTTTATCGAATAAAATAAAAATAAGCTCTGTTTTCAATAAAAAACCAGTTCTTTATGACTTTCCTCCATTATAAGAATATAGTACCCATTTTTCTAAAAAAAATATTATTTATCGAATAAAATAAAAATGAACCCGTTTTTTAATAAAACACAAGTTCTTTATAGTTTTCCTCTATTATAAGAATAGAGTATCCATTTTTTCATAAATAAATTTATTTATCGGATGAAAAAATAAATATATTTTTCAATAAAATACCAGTTCTTTATGATTTTCCTCCGTTCACTACAACAAAAAAGGGTATTAGCGACAACAACTTTAGCAAGAAGTAGAAAGCTTGACGCTCTTAAGAGGTTTATAGCAAGGAAAAGGACAATACCTCACCGAAAATTGGAGCCATCATATACTCTGCGAGAGCAAGGACTTTTCTCGCTTAAAATTCTCGCCAAAAGGAGCGCGGGAAAGCTTCCCTCCAAATACTAATTCTAGTGGCCCAAAGTTTCTATGTTATTGGTGAGAAATCATGGGTGTTTTTTTTGTGAAAATTTCAAAATTTTGCTCCCTTCCAATTTTTAGCAGAGCCGCGCATTGAAAATTTTTTAACCATTCCCGGCACAGCACTTGTCAAGCCTAGCACCACATGAATTCCAAGCCTTCCATACTTGCAAGGCTACTTTCCCAAATATTGTTCTCAGATCAGAGCCCTCGAAAGTTCAATCGCAACCTCCCCTACACCTTTCTCCTTTTATCTCTCTTTCCCTCTCTATCAATTTTCAGTTTCCCGTAGACATATGGTTCCTCTCTTCCTCTCTAGCATCCAGATCTGAATTTATACAATCATGGACACACTTTAAAGACTCTTCCGATGCAATGGCAGACTTCAAGGAAAAGCGATGGTGCAGGTTTTTTAAGCAGATATGTTATTTTCATCTCTGTTTTGTCAATTGCTTGTTTCTTGCATTTTTGGTCAATTTAACAATCGCAAAATAAACTTTTCAAAATTGTAGGCTTCTACCTCAGTGGATTGGAGTGAATGGGCATCTCAGTTGGAGTAGAGAAGGGGGTCTTACTGGAAGGCAAAATGAAAACGACCCATCAAAATTTCAGATCTAAGATTTCAGGTAGTCTCCAACATATTAGTCTCCAACATATTTTCATACTAGAATTCTTCCTTCCACGATTTGATTTTTTCCCTGCTTTGTTGTATTGTTCAATCTCCTCTCTTTACCACTCTCGTTTTCATTCCTCCGTACCTCTCGTTGCCCAGCCCTAATTGTCCCCTTTTGTTGTCCCAAACCCCCTAATTCTCTTACGCTGCAATGAAGAATGAATTAAATTCTAGCACCTGGAATTAATTTTTGCTATTTAGCTTTTAAGTTGCTATACTGAGTGATATTGGCTTGTGCTTCAGAGAACGACAAAGGCATTTTTGATGAAATCCTAGCGGGGCGCCTTGATTTCCAAAGCTCTCCCTGGCCTTCAATATCGTCTGGTGCAAAGGATCTTGTTAGGAAAATGTTAACAATGGATCCTCGGAAAAGGATCACCGCTGCCGAAGCCCTTGGTAAATAGTAAAAACTTTTGACCTTCAATATTATTATTTTCTGTCCTTCTCAAGTCATTTGGCTCTGTTTACCTGTTGCTGTAAAGAAACTATTATATATTGTACAGAGAGTAAATAGCGTATGGAGTATAACACTCCATGTAGTGGCAGTAGTTAACACTGTGTGTATTGCGCTTCTTGGAAAGAAAATAGTATATAATGTTTACATCCTCCAAATAATTGCATACCTATAATTCAGATCATCATCTAAATTTGGCTAAACATATATGAACCAGAACATCAATGGCTCAAGGAAGGTGGTGAAGCATCAGATACGCCTATTGACAGTGTTGTGCAAATAAGGATGAAGCAATTTAGAGCAATGAACAAGCTGAAAAAGCTGGCTTTAAAGGTAATGAATCGATATGTAAATTTCTTTGGACAACGCGGTTTCCATAATGAACTAGTGAATACATTTGACAGTCATTCATAAGAGTACTTTCCCTTCTACAGTTGCTTTATGATTCCTCTTTCTAGAGTTATTGATAGCTGAAACATGAAATTACTGGAAGGTTATTGCAGAAAACCTTTCAGAAGAAGAAATCAAGGGGTTGAGACAAATGTTCAACAACATGGACATGGATAGAAGTGGTACCATTACTTATGAAGAGCTCAAAACTGGGTTATCTAGGTTGGGATCCAAGCTTTCAGAAGAAGAAATACCAGAATTGATGGAAGCTGTAAGCAACCCGCGACTATGGAGGAGGTTCCTTGTGTTAACTCACACATGGGGAACCAAAGGCTAATTTTCCATTTACTAAAATAATAGATGAATGTTGACTTGAACTCTAAGTGAGTGAATCTTTTAAAGCAATTAAAACATAACGTCTTTGATATATGTAGGCTAATGCAAGTTTAATTTATCTAACTACCAATGTAAATTTCTGTTTAATAATTTTTTTTCCATTGGACTCTGTAGGTTGATGGTGGATTGTAGTAAACCTGGCTATGAAGCTCTTGCAAGCTACTTCGATTATGGACTTCGCCAATTAATGCAAACATGATACTCATTGTATATCGGCACAGGGTCTATCTTAGCATTTGTTATTCCTGACAATTTTGGTTGTACATATTAAAGCCTAATTAGGATTTGATTTGAGTATCTTTGTGCTTTGTACTGTTGATAGTATTGGTTGTAATATATTGTTGCTCGTTTTGTATTTGTAATGACAAATTGGTTTGTTATTCATATAAAATTTTTGCTATATCTCAATATTGACATTAATGATACCTCTTGCTAAAAAAATGGTTGAAAAAAAAAGTAGCAACTACAGTCACAAAGCTGCTTTTGGCAACTTTCTTGCAAAAAAATCATCTAGCTGCATTTGATCGTCTTTGGTAAGGGGTCGATGGTTTATAATTAAAGAAGTTACTTGTTTATGACAAAATGGGCACTCTTTTCTTATAATGGAGAAAAGTCATAAAGAGTTGATGTTTTATTGAAAAATGAGTTTATTTTTATTTTATCCGATAAACAAATTCCTTTTTGCCTTCAAAATGGTATTCTGTTCTTATAATGGAGGAAAGTCATAAAGAACTGGTGTTTTATTGAAAAAATGGGTTTATTTTTATTTTATCCGATAAATAAATTTATTTATGAAAAAATGGGTACTTTGTTCTTATAATGGGGGAAAGCCATAAAGGGCTGGTTTTTTTTATTGAAAAATAGATTTATTTTTATTTTATCTGATAAATAAATTTATTTATGAGAAAATTGGTACTCTGTTCTTATAATGGAGGAAAGCTATAAAGAGCTGGTCTTTTATTAGAAAATAGATTTATTTTTATTTTATTCGATAAATAAATTTAGTTATGAAAAAATGGGTACTCTATTCTTATAATATAGAAAAGCCATAAAGAGCTGGTTTTTAATTAGAAAATGGATTTATTTTTATTTTATTCGATAAATAAATTTAGTTATGAAAAAATGGGTACTCTGTTCTTATAATGGAGGAAAGCCATAAAGAGCTGGTCTTTTTTGGGAAAGTGATACTTTACACAAAGTGACCGCGATTTGGTTTGTGAAATAATCCCAAATAAAAATTTAGAATGAATTTATTTATTTTGAAAGTTGTATAATGGTTGTTAAAATTTCAAAGATTGACAAAAAAATTTTGGGGTTACAGAAAGGCAGAGCGAAGAAGGAGAAGAATTGAGTTTTTTGTCTGTTGCAATTGTTCCGTTAAAAATGGCTCTATTCGGTTTTACCCATTTTTTGTTGGGTAAAATCGTTGGTTCTAACGATTAATTCTTCATTTCCCGTCAATTGTCCTTAATTGGCCAAAATTACGAAACTTTGAGGATGCAATATGTTTGGGGTGAAACTTTGAGGATGAAATTGGCCAACCACCCAAACTTTGAGGATGAAAAGTGCATTTTTTCGTATAAGATATTTAATCAAATGTTATTTCTTGTCTTAATTTTAGTTATGATTATACTACATATTTATTAAATAGACAAACCTTTATAATTAAAGTTAATATTTGATATTTTAGGATGCCATATATTTAAATAGATGAAAATTATTTTGAACATAACATATTAAAATAATTTTATTTATCAATCATTTTGCCCCTCCCTTCAAGGAAAAAATCTTGGTTTCGTCACTGCCTAGGAGGAAATTGGGGTCTATTGCTAACAAAAGATTGTGAAAATTTACCTTTATATCCTAATTATTTGAAAAAAAAAATCTAATGAACAAATTTTGCAAAAGAAACCTTGTTTCTTACCAACAAATTAAGTAACTAATAAAATCACCTTTAATATTGCTTTAACATATTTAATTTATGTTACATACAAATTTTACCAGTTTCTCTTTTGTAAAAATATAAGTATATTACTTTTTCAATTTTAGTTACAAACATTTATGTATTTTATGTAAATGTAGTGATTCAGAGTAAAATGCCCATAAATAGCTAGTATTTTGTTGATGTAATGCAAAAAAATCCATAAAGAGCTGGTATATTATGGGCGCAATCTTTTTTACTTTCAAATATTTAAAATTTGTTAAATGCAAAATCTACTAGTTTTCCTTTCGTAAAAGTATAAGTATAATACTTTTTCAATTTTAGTTACAAACATATATGTATTTTACATAAATGTAATGATTCAGAGTAAAATACCCATAAATAGTTAGTATTTTGTTGATGTAATGCAAAAAACTCATAAAGAGCTGATATGTTATGAGCAAAAATTTTTTACTTTCACATATTTAAAATTTGTTAAATATAAAATTTACTAGTTTCCCTTTAGTACGTAATACGCTTCCTCTTTGGTGGTCCCACGATGGCTTTGTTTAGTAATTAGTACTGCTTACGCTTCCTCACAAATGTTTTTTTCTTAGACCCTTTATATTTATGTTAATTCTGTGACACCCCAACACATTTTGAGCTTATGCAGTACACAATATTTCCAAACCCCGGTTATAGGCCTCCACTTGCTTTTGTACAAATATTCCCTTCTTGATCCATACATGTCAGGTTGCAACGTGCCACCTGTTTTGCCATATGCTTTACTTTCCACACCTGTCTTCAAATATCCGATTACATTACAGAATTTACCACTAAACATACCGCAGCAACATCCAAAATAATTGAGAACACACTTTCTCAGCAACTTCAGTAGTGCCAAACAATGACCAAGACCAAGATCAAGAGATGAGTTATCATTTTTGTCCCTTGAAAATAAGGTATTGACCAATCTAGTCTTTTGTTAGTGGCCGCATGTGTACCAATTTGGTAGCTTACTTTTTTTATGACTAAATTGAAGTAAGATTCCTCCCATTTCAAGCTCAAATTTGTAGTCACATGAGCAGTAAGATCACAACATTCATGTGTATTAATTTTGATATTGTTCTTAATTTCAAGTTTTCAAACTAATTGTCTAATTTGAATCACAGTGTAAATCAATCAGAGAAGCAGCTTGTAGCTTTAATTAAATGTTGACAGAAGTACAATTTATTTAAAAAAAAAATGTAGAGTGCAATTCAAGAAAATGACTTTGTGCTTCAAAAAGAAAATCATGTCCTACTATTAACTCGAATTTAGTTGCTCCTTTTTGTATAAGTTGTATTGTTTTTTAAAACACATAAAAAGTATTTTTTTAAAAAAACAGTTAAAAATGTAGAGCAATTTTCAAATTGTATATGTATAGCACAAACAGATGAATTATTATTCAATACTAAAAACTAATTATAGGATTCCCTAGGTGAGAATTAACGAGTTTTATGCCTATTTGTTATACAGATTTTTTTTCTTTTCTCTTTTTTGGTCAAATATAATATTTCACGAGCAGCAGCAACTAAATCAACTATGGTACTCTTAATTATATTGGCACATTCAAATATTTCTTTTGGGAAAGAAGAATAAATAAGAAAATTCAAATAGTCATCTTGTCTATAGTCTTGTTCTTTTTCCACAAAAGATAAAGATCAGTAGCAATTTGAACCAAAAAATAATAGTTAAATAAGTTAGACCATACTGTCCTAGCAATCAAGACAACGGATGTTACTTTTAATACCAAAAAAAAAAAAAAAAAGGTATGGACCGTTCTGGTGTTGTTAACTAAAAATTTGTCAAACTTAGGATTCTCACCCCTTGGGTTTTAAATCTAAGTCCTCCATCCTATTTCTTCATCTCTTGGTTCCGCTTTCTTTCCCCTTTTTTCTTGTAATATATATTAAAATAAAAAAAAAGTTATATCAGTACTTCAAATCACCTAATCCATTGATAAGTATTATGATTAGATAATTTACCAGACTAGATGATTGTTTATAATACTTGAAAGAATGTCTAAATCAATGCCTTCATTAGTTATGCCTACTTTTTACATTTTTTTCTTCTTTTTTTTTTTGTTTTGGTGTGGGAAAGGGGAAGGTGTGGTATTCCCGCTAGCGTCGACAATTAAATCAAACATTATACTTTAACTATATTGACATATTCAAATATTTTTTTAGAAAAAGAGGGAATAGGTATAAACTTTTCAAAAAGTCATGATCTCCATATCTTGGGAAGTATGATGACGATTACAGAATGCATCTTTTTGAGATTTTTTTTTTTTTAACATAGCTTTTTTATTTTCCTGTTAATTTTACTAAAGACTAGTGACTGGCTAATTAGTGTCCAAATAAAATAAGGACAATGGTTAGGTGAAAGGAAGTTGCAGTTGCACTTGATGACTAGCCTGCAAATTGTGTTTAAAATATGGGCATCATGACGTGCCATTTCATAAGTTACTCTTTAAGTACTAAATTGTTTCTCTCATCCATTGTATGACATATTTGTGTTCAGAATTTGCATCAAATTTCTTTGTTTCCAATCTCAATGCGTTGACTATCAGTATAAGCCACCCAGCCGAGCAGTGACAGCTAAATCATAATTCATCTTCTTGGATTGAGTAAGTTGCATTGAACTTAACCCCAAAAAAATGGCCAGCATAAAAAAACAAATAATTAGTGGAGGTCAGACAAGAGTTTTTGTTTTTTTTTGGGGTGGGGGGGGGGGGAGGTCAGACGAGTTGATTTTCAGGCCAAAGTGTTTTAAATTTTTTTTCATAAAAATCCTTTTTATAAATACTAATGAGTTTTAGTCCGATCTACCTGTTTCTGTTAAAACTAATTTGCCGGCTAATGAGCCTTTTTTCCTTCTCTTTTCATTGTTACTAGTTGCTACAACTCTGAATTTTTTAGTTCCATTAACAACGTACAGGCTTGTTCTCCAGATCTTTCAAATATTTGTGACTTTTACAGAATGCATCTTTTTGAGAAATTTTTGAGAATCTATTCTATCAAATTGGGCCATTTCCTTTTCTTGACGTAGCCTTTTTATTTTCCTCGTTAGTTTTGCTACAAACTAGCACAGAGGGGATGGCTTCAACATCATATCTTCAATAAATATGACGTTGAAAGAAAAATAATGTCCAGCTTACTTGATGGTTGAAAATCT